GTTCTCCCTAAGGAATACCCTTTCCGTCCAATGTGAAATGCTGTGGTGTTTTTTGTGAAATGCTGTGGCGTTTTGTGAAATGCTGCGGCGTAAGGCTGTTGTGTTTTGTGAAATGCTGTTGTGTTTTGTGAAATGCTGTAGCGTTTTGTGAAATGCTGTGGTGTTTTGTGAAATGCTGTGGCGTTTTGTGAAATGCTGTGGTGTTTTGTGAAATGCTGTGGTGTCTTGCACTTCAGGGCCACCGTAAAATATAGTTAAAAAAAACGCAATATATATGGCAGGGGAAAAAAAGTTTTTTTCAATATCGTGCAGCCCTACAAATGTCATTGGCCTGGATGTACACATGTGTACTGGTGCATGTTTGATATAGACTTGACTCACTGCAAGAAGAAGTGGAGGCTAAATATGGATTGGGACAACTTGATCTGAGCCTGCGTTAAACCTGAGTCAGTTAATGTGTGCTCCCTGTAAATGTGGTCTGAAGGGTACATTAGATATATATATAATGTGTGAGGGACTGCGATGCTGAATTCAGTGACGGACAAATAGTTAAGTGAGAAGGAGTGAGATTTTCCTCGCTGAGGTTCAGGCCACTTTAACAGGCACTTTAATGACCGGTCTGTCCAATTGTCCCACCGGTGATGCTGTCCTGTTCTTCTGTAGCTGTGTGTGTAATGGAGTTAACAGCTGGACACCACTTCTTCTAACAAGGCCTACTCATGTGCTTTCTGTCACTCCTTTTCTCTCTCCCTGCCCTCCTCTCTCCTTCCCTCTCTCTAACTCCCTCGCGGTGCCACGTGAAGGCAGCCTGTTCTAGCCCCGGTGTGTCTCACAAAGTGTCTCTAAACATCAAACGCTAATCCCACATTTTTTTATTAAAGCTGTGTGAGCATTACACGACCTGGATTCGTGGTGGTCTCTTTTTACATTGAATATATATTATTGAACTGTGTTAACCATCCAATTCAGTTTTTTATACAATGCTAGCACGTTGTTGGACTCTTTAAAAGTTAATCCCAAGTTAATAAGAGGCTTCCTCACACACTAAAAGCTGGATCTATCCCTTAATTTCAATCCATACTACTGTTGTGAGAAGAAATACTTAAAATACAAACAGTTTAAGGATCCTGGATCCTTGTTTCTAAGCATATGTTCATGTTATCAATGATGTTCTTTTGATTGTTTATGTTGACATATATTGTCAGTCTGTCTTTCCTTGGAGAGGGATCCCTCCTCTGTTGCTCTCCCAGACGTTTCCTTTTTTTGCCATTAACTGTGATTATTACTTTGTCTGCTGCTAGGAGGCTAAGGACAGATAGTGTCCTATGCTGCACACACTTTAAATCCCTCTGAGACAAAGTTGTAATATCGGATAAATAAAGAACATTTGATTGATTGAATAATGTCATTTATAAGACATTTATCCACACCCTGCCTGCAGACTTTAACAGCATCTGCTTTGAACCTGTACTCATCTCTTAACATAAAAACAACTTATTCAAATGTTTTTTTTAATGGGATACAGTGTTTTGGAGTCATGCTTGTCTAAGTGTATCTCAGTTTTTTGGACTCTCTTCCTACCTTCAAGTGAACATCCCAGACCTGAGCGTCGTACTGCTGGTGTTGGGAGGCGCAGAGTCCGGCCTGCTGGGCCAGTTGACAAAACAGTCTCAGAGTTTCACCTCGCAGCGGAGCAAACACCAACGCTGTGCCCTGAAAACAAAATGAGACGAGGGTGAGTGCTTTGGAAAGTGGATATAATGGTAAGACACGCGTATTTTAACGCCTAATTTCTCAAAACATTTGTTATTTAGCTTTACACAAACACATAGTTGCCAGTCTCTTTGCTTTGATCTTTACCAGGTGCACGTTATGAGATAAACCAAAAAAATGAAGTTCTTCTAACTCCAGAATTGTGAACACACATTCGTCACATGTATATGACTATGCGTGTGTGTGTGTGTGTGTGTGTGTGTGTGTGTGTGTGTGTGTGTGTGTGTGTGTGTGTGTGTGTGTGTGTGTGTGTGTGTGTGTGTGTGTGTGTGTGTGTGACAAAGACAGAACGACAGTTTGTATGAGCACATGCATCACAGACATCCTGCGAATACTAAGAGGATTACTAACAAGTTCTACGTTTCTTTGAAATCCTTCATCTTTCAGTTGTACTTCCTGTTGATCATGTTATTATTGTTTTAATTGAATTAAAAAGGGAAGCCATCACAAACACACATACAGTACAGCAAGTACACACACTATGAAACACAAATGAACACAAAGAACAAGATCACAATGCATGACAGATTTTTCATCTGTATATCCAGTGGCATTTCCCCCCTAGACCCCCGTACCCTAAAAACACAGCAAAACCAAACAAACAACTCCTCCCAGCACTAATCAGCTGATTAAGGGGATCCAGCCCACCGGATGGACCACCTTTGTCAGAAACAACAAATTAGTGCCATTAGATGGGAGAATTAATTGCTTTGTTAATTGCTTAATCAGCTTAGCAAATTATTAAATATTTGGCAAGCTTGTTGTGGCAGAGACAGTCTGATGGCCGACACTCAAATCATATTAGCCCCTGAATTATCTCCACTGGATTAAAGAGGGAGAGACATGAAGAGAGACTTAACACACAGATGTACAACAATGGCCAGATGTCATGTCCGTCACTCGGCAAAACAGCAGCTTCGGCATTCAACTGAAACTGAGACACACGTTGGGTTTCACTGTGCATGTCACTGCGGAGGAAACGCTATATGGAGATACGTTTGTCTCAATATCATTCATGTGATCAGATCGAAATCGGTGTTAAAGTATGTAATCTGAAAATGTAAAAAAACTTTGCGATATGCAAAAAAAGATTTGTGAACTTGTAACAAATATTAAGTTGATTAAAAACGGAGCTACACAAATTCTACTTAAAAAATAGGTTACTATAATACATTGTTTCACAAGTAAGTGGAAAGCATTTGTGACTATCTTTCTGACATTTACAATTTTTGATCAGGCGTTTGTGAATCCAGTTTTCTTCGACGCTTGTGGATTTTACGTACCCAGAGTTTAGAGAAAAACTATTTGAACAAAAATCTACCCACAAAACTCGGCCATTTTCCAATAGCACGTGATGGCCTGCTTCAGCTTTTCAAAATAAGAGCATGATAATTCCATACGCGTGTCACGGCAGGCAACAACCTGAATGTAATCATAATAATTATAACATAATCCTTTTTGTCTTTCCAGTTACATCTGCTGTTTGTAAATGTTATAACAAATAGATTAAAGGCTTAGTTCACCTATATTCTCAACATATTTCCTCACTTATCTATCATAAAACTAACCAAGTTGATAGTTTTGGTTTTATATGTCCCATCCTAATGAAATACAGGGGATAGGAAATGTATTTTTAAGGTGCTGAAGGTATTTCAAAATGTCTATCTTTTTCTGTATAGTGTAATGGATTATTGATAAAACATGAGGTCAGCAGTTCTGATAGGGAATATTTCTAAAACAGTGTTTATGAAGCTCATTTCTGGTTGTTGTTTCATTTGGATTGACATTTGTTTTTCATTTGGTTGAACTGGCCCTTGGTGCTTTTAACCTGCATGTTTCTATTTCACCAAACAAAATCCATCTTAATAAAGAGATATTTATCTTTCCCTCAGCTACATTTCACATCTCTCCTCCCTCCTTCTGTCCTTCCATCTTTTCTTTTCATCTCTCCCCTCCTCTTTTCCATATCTCCCTCCCTAGAGTGCAGTTTTCACCTCTTTTTCATAAACAGATATTCCCTATACCCGTCTGGCCTCTTTTCTTAAAACGCAGCCCTCTTCCCTCAGATGAATAGAAACCTCAACCCTATCTCTTCCAGCCTTTTGCTTTCCCCCCCCCCCATTTGCTTTGGCTGTCACAGCGTGGGGTCTTATCGCGAGGCCAAAAGGGAGAAGTTGCCTCGGATTTATGATTAAGGGAAGGCAGAAGAGAGAGAGCCGGAGATCAGAGCGATGCATTCAAGTTGCTCATAATAAGCATTAAAGCATTACATGATATTAATCCTGTCAGCCTATTAATGTGTATGGGCTTTTGGGGCGAGGTCTAATTATGATTGAGAAGAATGCGAGGTGATTTAAAGGAAGGGGATCAGCAGAGATATATACAGTAGACACACAGAGGCACACACACACACACACACACACACACACACACACACACACACACACACACACACACACACACACACACACACACACACAGAGATATACAAATATCTGGCTTGGCTTCCTTCATGAAATTAACCCTCTTCAGTCAATACAGAAACAGCATGGGCACACAGTATCCATACCTATTCATACACATATCATTTACTTCTTGTGTGTGTTTTTGTGGTGTGTATGTGTGCACTCTTTAGACACTCTAAATTAACAGAAGCCTGTATGTTTAATGTTCCTTCTTAACCACATTACACATGTTCACATCTTATGTTGTTGTTAACACCTAAAATGCTAGGTGTGTATATCCTTGATCCATTTGATGGCAAATTATTGTTAACATGCCACACACACACACACACACACACACACACACACACACACACACACACACACACACACACACACACACACACACACACACACACACACACCACACTTACGTTGGGTTTCAGTAATCTTCTTATGGCATCAACCAGGCTGGCTCTGTACTGGTCGAGGAACAAACTGAGGGAAGAGGGAGACTCAGGTTAGAATTCTGCATTCCTGTGATAGCAGCTGCAGATAAAGCACCAGGCTATTTATTTTTCTTTTGTTCACAAATAAATCCACCAACAAGAAGAAGGGAAAAACAATTTGCATGAGTAAGATGCTCTTCCTTTTTGTTTACGTTTCAGTTTCCGTGTGTATTCACCTCGGCCTGTTGTCGAGGCACGGATGGGAATGCAGAACATCAGAAAATCCAACATGCACAGATACCATCGCCTACAGTAAACACACACGTGTGCGCATGCAAGCGTACATAGTTTTACTGGAACACTTCAAAGCGGCGCGAAAGCACCTTGAATTTGTGGAATTAATACCTGGAGAGTACGCTCTGAAGTTAATATGAAGATATGAGAACAAAACAACACACAAAGGAAAACTAAATCAGGAAATAAATGTTACTACAAATCTAATTAACTGGTTCCATTGTACATTAAACACCACTGTACTTTAACTGTGTGTGTTGGAGAGACTGTGTTCATGTTAATTAGAGCAGTTATGCATATTTCTTTCACCATATGAACAACTTCACAAAAAAGTGTAAAACCATATTTGAATAATTCAGGGTACATATATTTGATTATACCATATGATTAGAAGTTAGTCACAGCTTGTTAATTTGTCTAACTTATTATTATGGTATTATAAGGATGATCTTTGTATATGTTTACATTTGTGCACATTCAATGCAGATACACTTGGCTGAAAACGACCGATTACTAAGTCCAAACATTTAAAAAAGAGGAATTGTAGATGAAGGTTACAATCAATATGGATATTGCATGCTTGAACCCAGGTTTCATAACAGAACATCACACACACACAAATTAACTCCAATCATTATAAACAAAGTAACACCTGTCTCTATATCCAAAACCACACATTTCAATCCATTATGCCAGTAAGTAGAGCACTGTGTGTGTGTGTGTGTGTGTGTGTGTGTGTGTGTGTGTGTGTGTGTGTGTGTGTGTGTGTGTGTGTGTGTGTGTGTGTGTGTGTGTGTGTGTGTGTGTGTGTGTGTACCTATTATCACAGATGAGAGTGGAGTAATTTGACTAAAATGCAACAATACAGTGCAGATTTGAAATAATCCCTCACATCCACCCAACTGGCCGGGGGGGGGGGCAATCTGGACGTAACTTTCTAATCACAGCCTCTGACCTTTCCTCATGCAAAAGCCTCTGATCCCAGGGGAACGAGAGGTGCACGTCACTGAATGTTCCTCTCTGCATCCATGGCCATATCTCAATAACAAAACAGGACTTAGCATTTCAAGCTCTCACCAACACCAGGATGTGTGTACGTCTGTGAGAGGGTTGTTATTCTTTTAAGGTTGACAGAGGCGCAAAGTTTATTTTACTTGAAAGGTGAGAGGTTTGTGTTTGTTTGATTTTGCCACAGATATCGGTTCACGGGAAAAGTGAGTGGTAGGGAAAACAAGGAAGTGAGCTAGTTGGGTGGAGGCAACAGCCAAAACATACACACACACATGCACACAGACAAAGACACACAAACTGAGGGTAAGGGAAGGACATCGTGTCGTTCAGAGGGCAACAGTTAAATAACAAAAAGGAGCCATGGTCATTGCTGATGAACATTTTTAACATGGGGAAATCTTATATAAAGTTACATACAGTGTGTCAAATAAAGTAACCCTGCCAACAGCTACGTATTAGTCTATAGATCACTCAGAGAACAAACTACTGTTTAAATAATGTGTCATACACAGGTATCTTTGAGGGAGGACGGATGAGAGTTGTGAATGTCAACAGACACATAAATGTAAAAAATAAAGTAAAAATATGTAAAATTCATCAAACTAGGGGGAAAGAAAAATAAAGTTTTGAATCTGAATTTTTTCTGAATATATTTAAAGGGGAAAAAATAGCTAATATCCCTTAATGTTTCTAATTGTATCCACTGTTAATGTTTATTTAAACATTATTATATAGTTTGATCAACCTGACATTATATTAGAACGTTTAAATGTTTCAAAAGAAATGCATCTGAATCCCTAAATGCCAATGTTAATAGAGTTTTTTTAGTTGTCTGAGATACAGGTTTTGATTTCCTTTGACTATTTGTAAAGCTGGTTTATGCTGCTAAACATTACTTGTATTAATATGAGTCACCTTTACAGTGTTTGCAATGGTGTTTAACCAAATTAAGATTATTTCTACTTTTCCAGGTCCTAAAAACTATTTGTAAACATGTATGAAAGGTAGTATTTATATGATATCACCAGCTATTATTTTTAACCATGGTGTCAAGGAAGAAATTAAAATCCAAACAATACAAAGTGTTGCTCTCCCTCTATTACCATGTTTGGTTTGCAGTCACAGTTCAATAATGTCAGTTTAAAATTCATGAACTCTCAAATTGAGTGGACTCCCCCTTTAAGGTCAGCCCTGATGCCCCCAGACGGGCAGAGACCTATTGTCTCACGCTGACCCCCCCCACCCAGGACAGCCCACAAACTCCAGTCAGAACTGAGTGGAGGTCAAAGGGCACAAAAAGGGCGTGTGTGTGTGTGTGTGTGTGTGTGTGTGTGTGTGTGTGTGTGTGTGTGTGTGTGTGTGTGTGTGTGCGCGCGAGAGGGCGTTGCTGCTATATTTGTCTGCTTCACACATATATGAACACACAGGATGTCGTCAAGGCTGCGAGTGTGAGGCCATGGAAACACATGACACCATCAATGACCCTTTTAACCCACTAATGGAAATGTAAGGGTTAAGATCCATGTTTTCTTTTAATTATCGTCATCACTTTTATTAAAGTCGATACCAATTTTTGTTTCTTAAGTTATTGTGACACAAAGCATGATCATAATATCATTTATTAGTCAGTTCAGGACTTTTGTTGTGTATCTCAAATCCAAAATCAGACAAACTAAACTCTGCCAGGGAGTCCAATCTCAATTTCAATAGTCTTATAATCCAAACTTTGTCCTTACTGTCAAGATAAAAAACATACACATTTCAACAAGGACTTGGTAAGTAAATCTTATGTATTCATTCTGCTTTCCTGTGAATTTCGTTGGGATGCATTTGATAGATTTTTGATTATTTAATCAGAAACCATCCAGAACATGTACATATCTATATCTGCTGTTATGTGGGAAAACAAGAATGAGCCACATAAGAAAGAGAGAAAAAAGAAAACCCAAACACTATGCGTAATATAATATAAGCTAATATTGAGCCAGTGAAGTGCAGGGAATAAGGGTGTTAACATTGACCTTCTCAAAAACTCATTTAATACCCAAACTATCAGGCGGCAAAACACTGCTTTCACTCTTTCATCCTATTAGGCCGCATACAATGGTTTACTGTATGTGCGTGTTGCTAAACGGCACTCTAAGAAAGCTACTTGTACTTTTCTTTAAGTGTGCCCCTAACAATTACTCTGTTGAAGTGGAATTGTAAAAAGCCGGAATACCTCTTGGTGTGATTTCGCTCATATTTAATCTACAACAATTAGCATACCGCTGAGATCTATTTACAGTATCTTTGTTAGAAAATTTTAGAGAAAATTCTCTAAATAGCTATAAATGTTAAACATCACCGTCACAATTAAGCTCTGATATCACTAATATTTTGACATCAATTAAATCAATGTGCTATATTATATAAACACAAATATTTTCATTACTTTAGTGTGGTAATAAATATTTTACAGACATCAGACAAATATATATTTTTAATCTGGAGTCATACAGTGTGCACAACATGTTCTTAAAAAAAAGAGTTGACACCGTTTTGTCAGAAAATTACAAAATGCGCTGCTGTGCAAAATTAGCCAAATGAAATAAAGAAAGGACTGCACTTTTGTAGAACAGTGATATGATTGAAACGGCAGCAGCCACTAACACGTGGTGCTGAATTGTGCACAACATAGAAAGATAGGACATCAAATACATCATGGACTTATCAGCATTAAATAAGTCAGATGGTGTGTGTGCATAAAAACTGTGAATTCACGATAGATGCAAATGAATATAGAAATAGAACATACATAAGTAATATGCACATAAACACACACACACGCCCGCACACACTCATAAACAGGGCTTTATCTCCTCGCCCACACATGGACAGCTTTTGGAGAAAACAGACACGCCAACATCCCAGCCAAGGATCCTCCGCCACACACATTCTCTGAGTATCTCACACACACACACACACACACACACACACTCTCTGTATCTCTCACACACACACACACACACACACACACACACACACACACACACACACACACACACACACACACACACACACACACACTATTCCTCGACTTCTCTCTGACTGAAATTTTAAATGTAATGAAATATATTGCAAATATCGTAGATTTCAAAGGATTTACTCCTGGACAGAATATGTCTTCACTGATATTTCCATTTTTTTTGTATTTGCAATTGAGGCTTCAAGTTTCCACGATACACTCACAAAAGTTTCATACTGGATCATGATTGGCTAAAAACTAGTTGTCATTCTGTCCATATAACCATGTTCAAATTACATTTAAGAAAAGCGCAGAGAAGCCTTGCTCTTTTGGCGGATGTGTGTGTGTGTGTGTGTGTGTGTGTGTGTGTGTGTGTGTGTGTGTGTGTGTGTGTCCAAGTGAGGTCACAATTGGCAAACAACATTTTTTTTAATAGCTGAATGTAATTCTTCCTTTTCCCTTTTTTCCTGTGCATTTATTTTATTTCCGATGGAAAGGTGAACTATTTATCGTGACTTTCTGTAAAATGACAGTGGTGGCTTATGTATTTATTTTGTAACAAATTGGTCGACCGTCTTTATTCATATAGATCTGAAGGTCGGTGCTGATGTTTTTTCGGCAGATGTCATTTACCAAGTGTAGAACTATTTCTCATCTCCAGCTACTGTGACTGGCAGTGTACGGTTGCTGCCCTTGACATTTAATATAAAGAAAGCCACGTCAAGCAGTTACTATGATTTATACCTTGTTAAGACTTCACACAGAGATGGATGAGCAGTACTTTAACAGCACTTAAGAAACATTTCCAACCGCCAGATTCACTCCAATACTTCTCAACTTCTTTTGCATAATACTTCCTCTTCAAAAATAAACATGATATCCAAAGGAGTAAGCACATAATGGACTGCTGATACACAATGTTCCACCAAACTCCTCTCCTCTCCGCCCCCCCCCCTCTCTCCATCTCCCCTGGCTTCTCAGCAGTGGTTCCGCTGCTACCGGTGGGAGCTATAATTAATCGGAGTGGAAGCCGCGTTGTTGACCTTTTCGCAGGTGATCATCACCACGATGCGCCCGTTAATCGGTCAGCCATCACTCTTCAACCACCACCACTGCAATTATCACACAGTCACTCACTCACACACACGGGGGGGAAATGGCACCACAGAGAAAAACATCTTGCAGCACACACACCGCACACAAGCATGCATCTCTGCTGAGAAAATGTGAAATCTAAGAACCCCGAGATATCACAAATTCACATACAATTTACTCTGTTCTAACACTATCTGCTTTTATCCGTCGCACACACGTGTTAATACACACTCGTCCGCTGTAAAATATCCTCTATTAGCTGCCGGCTCTCTTTCTCTCGCTGGGTGCTGTACCTGACTATTACCTGTAATGACCGTGACATTACAATAATGATAACGCCGTTTACTAATGCTGCACTTAGCACACGTGCACACACTTGTGCAGATAGATACACACATACTGTACACAAGCTACATTTGTTCGGTGTTTGTGAAGCTGAAGTACTTTTGAGTCAACCAACAGCATGTCATTCTTCGCAGCGTGTGTGTTCTATAGGCATGTTCTTATGTCAGTGTGCATGGTGGTTAATGGACGCATTGGATATCAGCATCTTAAATGAAAATCTGTATTTGTGTTCTGTGTGAACCCTACCTGAAGTATTTCTTTAAGCAGGACATATTATGCTTTTTGGGCGTTTTCCCTTTCCCTGTAGTGTGTTACTGTATATGTTTTAGTGCATGTAATTGCTCTGCAAGACTAACATCCCAAGGTTCCCTCCAGAGGGAGTTTCTCTCCGGACTGGACTCTGGTTTCAGACAGAGGGTGAAAAGAGGTGCTGCAGCACAGGCAGTAGGAGAAAAATGAAGACCTTTTTGAACATTAAAGCATGGAGACATGTCATAGGAGAAGCACACAATACAAATATAAACCTGAAAATTAGCATAACAGGGTCCCTTTAATAAACACAACATCTGCACACCAGCACATCTGCCGCGTTATTTCTCCAAGGTTGCTTAAAAAAATGATGAAAATTAAGTTCTGTTAAAAACTGTATGTTACGGTTTTTCCCGCAGTGTACCTGAACTACAGTATGTATACCTGCCCTCAAAAAGTAATGGTTAAGGAGAAACGTGTCAAAAAAGGATATTTGATTTCCATAATAAAATATAATAAGAAACCAATTGACTTATCCCAAAGCACGGTAAATAAACTGAATATCGAATTGGGCATCAAATCAACCATTTTCACCATATTCTTAAAGTATTAATATTGCTCAAACAGAAGGAGTGTACTGACTGTCAGTGTGTGTCTGTCTTTAAGTCAAGGGAGCTAAATCCATCCTTTTTCATGGATTTGACACAAAGAAAAGTAGGGATTCATGTTTCAGGGAAGTAATGCACAATCTGATTTGCTTTCAAAGATCAGTCTTTAATTTCTTAATGTTTTTCCAAGGATGTTGTTATGTGGAATACATATCCAGATTCATGCCTCACATGGTACAATTGAGCGATAATAAAGATGTTATTCTCAATTGGCCACAAGATCTACATTTCAATGAACGATAGGCTAATTGTTATGTTTATGTTGCTCTATCTCTCCATTTCCATCTCCATTTCTACTCCTCCCTCCATCCGCCCTCGACTCTTTCTTTATCTTACTGTGTCTCCTTCCTTGTCAAGGCGCAATTATTTGCAATTTGCCTAAGTCATCCATTTGCTGGGACACCAAGCATGAAAACGAGGCAATTTGGTGTAAAATGGAGGCAGGCGGGCATCTGAGCATATGGGTATGAGTGTGAGTGTAAGTGAGTTGTGAGTGTGTGTGTAAGTGAGTTGTGTGTGTGTAAGTGAGTTGTGTGTGTGTGTGTGTGTGTGTGTGTGTGTGTGTGTCTGTGTGTGTGTGTGGACAAAGCAGGGGAAGGTCCAGGCGCTGGTGGGGGGCCATGCAAGAACTGTCATGCAAAAGTGAAAATTAATGCCATGAGCGCACACACTGAGATAAATGTCTGTTTCTGTATGTGTGTGTGTGTGTGTGTGTGTGTGTGTGTGTGTGTGTGTGTGTGTGTGTGTGTGTGTGTGTGTGTGTGTGTGTGTGTGTGTGTGTGTGTACCTACCAGTCTGCACACATGACAATGTCAAAGTGACCCTCTAGTGCCGAAATGTCTGACTCGCAGTCCCACCTCACCACCCTGTAGGCACACATAACACAGAAACAAAGTTGGGTGTTGGCAGAGCTGGAGACAGAAGGAACTGATATAGTGAAACTGCACAGCGAGCGACAGCAGTTCATCTTCCACCGCTTCTTTCCTGTCTTCCCGACACCCTGACACCGCTCTCCCTGACACCCACTGTGCTTCTGCTTCGGTAGAGACTTGGAGAAAGTGTCAGGGAGGGAATACGTGTCATCTGAAAGGTAAAGAGAGGCAGCTTCTGACATGACACTTGACATTTATATCATGTAAACACAGACGGACACTCACTTAGCTATTCAGCACGCACACTGCCCTCTCTCTTCCTCTTCTTACTGTCATTACCAATGCAGGATTAACTGTATAAGTATTCATTATATATTGATTAGCAATTTAAAACTACAAAAATAATGGTTGACATTACTTAAAAAGATATGTACAATCCTGTATACGCAATACATTTTTTTAAAAACATGTAAATTATATAATAGAATGAGATATTGTGAATCATGAATAATAAGAACCATACAATTAAATCGATAAAATGTAAATAGATGCCAGTTTGGCGCCGTTTCATGTGTTCTTATTAGGGCTGTCAAACGATTAAACATTTTAATCAGATTAATCACAGCTTAAAAATTAATTAATCATGATTAATCACCATTCGAACTATGTCCAAAATATCCCATATCTGTATGTATATTGTTGTGGGAATGGAAAGATAAATGAAAGAAGGCGGATATATCCATTTAACATATGTAGCCTATGTATGTATGTTTATTATAACATTGTTCTGTGTGTCTAAATGAAAGACAATCCACACACCTATCAATCATCAAACCGTGGGGTCTTATTTCATTACGTGTTGATTTCTATCAACACGTAATGTTGTATCGATGTATATAGAGATGTACTAAAGCAAAAGTATTCTCCGTCGGGACTTCCTGCAACAACACCACGCCGTTATCTTGATTCTGATTGGCCAGAAGACATTATCAAAGATGTTCTATTGAGAAGACGACCACTACGTGACAAAAGTTTTCAAAACCGTTTCTAGTCTTCGGTATTTCCAGACAAGTGACGACTGAAATCAATCTTACTAACTGCTGTCTGTGCAATTTACTCGGCGTGAGTTGGCGGATTTTATTTTGCTTACTTTAACATCATGTTTCATGGTGGGGCTAAGCCATTTCTTGGTATGGCACTACCAGGCACCCCAGCGCTGCCACTGGTGGGATGTATGGGGCGGGCCATTCTGCTCATGCGTTAAATGCGTTAAATATTTTAACGCAATTAATTCAAAAAATTAACGCGATAATTCTGACAGCATTAGTTCTTATGTTGATTTTCTTTAAGCTCCGACCCTTATATGTTGTCAGTTCTTCCCTCAACTAAACATTAAATTGTGATTTGGCGTGAGAGTGAGTCATCTCTTGCTTTTTGAGCAGGAAGTGTTGCTCTGTCTCTACTTGTTGTTCGTCGGTAGAACTGCACTGTGTGTCTTGTCTGGGTTGTCTTTGTCCACCAGTGACAATGGTCAGATTGTTGTCTCCCTGTCTGTATTTCATGAAGGTCCTTCTAAGTTATTCACCATTCACGCTGGTCAGAAAACCTGCCACTTGGTCATCTTCGGTTCAGTGCTAAAGAACATTGAAGTTTACTTTGTGTATAAGGGCATTGTGATTTTCTATGGCTATAATTTCTCTCTTCCAGACAGTGTAAGGGTGCTGATGCTGCGCACTGTTCAAAGCTTTCTCCTCCATCTCTTTTTCCACACCATTTTCCCCCTCTCTCTCAGACTGTTAGGCAGAGAGGGGGATTATTAATTAGGCATTATTAACACTCAGTAAACAAAACATTAGGCCCCGCTAGAAACACAATCTCAATTCACGGCAGGGGATCCCAACACACGCACACATTCGCATGCATGTACACACACAATCACGCAAAATGTCCCTCCCCCTCCCTCCCCTTGTCCAATCACATCGTGCCCTTCGCCCTCTCTTGTGGTGCGGCGATGACAGCAGGCATAATCTGAAAAGAAAACAATCAAAGTAATGTAGCCTAATTATACGTTTACTTTTTCACTCCACCTTCCACTCATGTAAATATGCCCAGGAGGGAGAGACGGAGTGAGCGAGTAAGAGGGAAGAGGTAAGGAGGCGAAACAGCCAGTCAATGGTAAAATGCATTTTCATTATGACAGGGACGACAATTATATACGGTTCAGCCTTTCCTTAAATATGAGGTGTAAGTGTTTGCATGCATGAGTCCGTGTGTAGCTAACACGGGTTGATCTTTTGTTGTTCATTTTCCAAACTTAAATCCATAACACGGACACCTTAAAGATAAAAGACCTGATGTTAGTGTGAGGATTGGGTTTCTTAATCAAACATGATGAAACAAAACCATTTTAGAAAGATAATAAAATGTCTTACCTCTTTTTTGTACATTTTTCAAGACATGAAAGTGGAAAAATCCCAAAACTGACTTGATTTGATTGGTTTTACTGTTAAGGGTTCAAATAATGAATGCGAGGAAATTCTATGATACCATGTTATGAAGATGTGTTGGTCCAAAACCATCACTTACAGATACTCACAGACGAAGGCATTGCACATTATATATTTTAAATGTCACTTTTTAAGAAATATAAAGAGCTGATCAAATATTCTCACCTGGAAGAAACCTGAGTAGATCCAAACTTTCCAGTTTGTCTGTTTCTCTCGGCCAGCTTTCGTACATCTGAAATGCCACGGTCAAGGATTCATCACAGACACACACGCATTACATCCTCAGCAGTAAACACATGTTTCAAAGATCTCCTCTTATACTTTTTGCATGCAGTACACTCTGCCAACTATGTTTACAGTAGATAATGTCTTGAATACTCTAAATTAGGACTTCTCGTGGAATCCTATTCAAAGCCACCATGTGTACATTTGAGGATTTCCTGTGTGTTTAGATCCATGATCAACACATCCATACACTTTAAGTGGGATTGCCTTAAAGTTGGGGTATGTTATTTATTTTGTTATATTCCATGGAATGCTCTTAACATCCCGATAGCAATGAATATATTAAATGCTTTGACAATAAATACATACAAAATGTCATCTGTGGAAGCCGTGGCGCTGTAAAAAGCACGACCAATCATCTGAGCCGGCCCGGCTGAAATAACTGGATGGCCTACCTGCCTGTCAGCCTTCCATCTGTGCACAAACTTATCTCGTGCCCTCATTGGTCATGTGCGCGTTCGTGTGTGTCAGCGCTGGTGTGTGTTGGAGGAGGGGCTCTGTAAGGAAGTGGCAGATTTTCTCCGGTTGTGTATTTTCAAATTCCAGCGAACTCGAGCTGGTTTCTCCAAAATTACATACCTCACCTTTAAAGCTTAAGATAAAGATAAAGCTCAAGATAAAATGCTTAGCCACTAAAATATTTTTGAAACATGTCACACAACATACAATTTTACACATGCAGTGTGTGTTTAATACATGTTTTTCTAGTTGAATTAAGTGTGTTGCATATCTAAATGTATGCCACATATAAAAGGGATCTTAAGATCGAGGGAAAGACATGTGATTTATTAATCAGGAGATTCAAACTGCAGACTTTCCCATCAGATTAGATCTGCTTTAGGATTATTGTAATGTCCTGTGAGTCAGAGCTACATCAAGACCCTCTTTGGGTAAAAACACATATGGTAGCCGACATAGAGACAGCGTGAGTGAGAAGAGATGATCTTCAGGGATAGAGAGCGAGATCACAGCAGCCTGGAGCTGGATCAATGGGAAAGCTTTTAACCACAGACACACAAACTCACACCGGCCCTCTCGCACACAAACACGTACGCGCAAATGAACGCACACAAAGGCAGGGCGATTGATGTCAAGTTGTCTAGTAATACACTGGCTTGTGGAGTTGCAAAGCAATTCAATTAGGATTTCCTTGTCTTTAAAGCCTGCAAAGAGCTGAGACAAATCCAATCGACAAAGACAGAGAGGAAGAGGGAGAGAGGGCGGGAAACCGTGATAACTTGATGGATGGATTGATAGCTGGAGAGCAGATCACAAATCAAGGAGGCCTCCAAGACACAGATACACAATAATATGTAGGTTAGCACATAATACAAGCCTGACGCACATCACACACTGGACACCTGTGCATCAGTGTATTATGCATAGGGATGACAGGGCGAAGAGCAGAGCAGCTTACTGTAATCTCATCACCAGCACACCACTGGGGGAGAGGTCAGCGCACACACACAAACACACACACACACAAAAATAAAGAGGAAAAGGTGAAAGAGATTTGAGTATTATCGAACATTCATATTTGCTCCCATCACTTGAAGTAGACAAGTTGCAGCCAATGACATGCATCAATCATTCTTAATGGAACATTTCAAACGATCTCCAACATGAGTATTCAAGGTCACAGAAAGTGCCTCTCTACGGTGTGTGTGTGTGTGTGTGTGTGTGTGTGTGTGTGTGTGTGTGTGTGTGTGTGTGTGTGTGTGTGTGTGTGTGCACTATAAATGAGGTCAACAACTCTGAAGTAAAAAATGTGTTCCATTCACAACTTCTATTCCCACATATCTCCTCATCTATTTCCCTGTATAAAAACCGAGCCATATCACGACCCCCTATCTCTTTCTATTGTAACACTGGCCCGCACAATAAGGCCATGTGAGACAAACAGTGGGCATTAACACAAGGCTCCGACCAACAGCTTCCTCAGCGAGAGGAAACGCCACACAGTGTCGGCAGTGTGTGTGAATGGGAACATTTGGCTGAGCCCAGAACAAATTATTGTTTCTTTCTCAACGCTCACCCTCTCTTTCTGTGTGTGTTCGATCCATTCTCGCTATGATTTCACTTACAATTCTCTGCGTGTGTTTGTTCTGTGAAACAAAGCACTCGGTCAATGGTATATTGTTTGCATGCCCAAGTGTGTATATGCGAGTGTGTATGTGTTTTATAAGCACCATAATGTTATTGTTTGGTCTTATTGTGATCACTAAAGCAGCATTTTAGCCGGATGAGACAGAGATATTGTAAGCAGAGCTGAATATGGAAGTGCCATGTTGGTCAATTGGGAAGAAATGTGTATTTATATTTCCTCCTTTTATGAAAAAATGAAACAAATCAGAGCTTTTTCTTTCTTATCTGTTAAGTTGTTTAGTGAATAAAGCAAGATCTACGAGTATAGAAGAAAAGGGAGAACAATACTGAAATAAGACGGGAAAAAAGAGAGGGAAAACAAGAGGCTAACAAAGTGAACATTGGGTAGAAAAGAAGAGCAAAATGGTTAACATGCTGACAGAATTGATCAATAACACACTCGAAGAACAAACGTTCGCCAAAATCTCACCTCAAGATCGTCCTAAAAACTTAATTATAGGCCTAAACCTTAACCACACAAAACATTTTAAACAAACTTTGATTGTTCCTGTTTCTAAAACACTCATCAAGCCCTTCCCCTAGCCTCAGCATTAGATGAAGTCTCAAACTAAATCTGACAGGATGGCAATTACTGTGCTCTTATCATGGCATAGTGGGCAGCTGGGATTGGTAGATGCCACATTGAGCGCTGGTGCTGGGTATTTGTCACCGTGGGTGCCCCATCTGCTGCTTTTGCCTACAAAATAAAAGAGGTGGCTATTCTTCTTTCAACACAACCACATCTCTAAATTCAAGGATGAAACGCCAAGGTTACGTTTATGATACTGTCTTAAAGAGACAGACAAATTCATGTTATTCAAGTTTAGAAGGGATTCAAATATTAGCAGAATTGAATAGCAATAATAATGGCGTGATAGATAATATACGCTGGATCAATCATTAAAGACTGATTAAGCACGTCTATTACTACTTAAGGGGTTGCAATTATGCTGTTGGTATAAATACACACTCAGTTTCCAATTCATTAGGTACACCTGGCTCAACTAATGGAGTCTGCAAGAATCATGAAAGAAATCGTACCATCACAGATGTAATTATGTTTCGTTTTTTGTTGAAACTCGAGGGAGGAAGTTTGCGGCAAAGGCGTGCATTTTACAAAATGAAAAAGCCTAATTGGAATTCACCTTTTAACACATCAAAATGTACACTTACACTATAAGGTAGGTTAAGTTATATTTATTTGGGATGTCCAAAAACCACATGTGACTGAATCTGTGTTTTTTTCCCCCCACGTTGTTTGTATCAATTTATCATGTTATATTGTTCCACATGTGATGTCAGATGTAAGATTGAACATTACAAAATGAAATTGATGTTACCACAGCGAGATAAAACTGCATGCCTCTATATTTGAATCCATGTGTGTTTTTTGTGTACAGGAATGCCCAACATCTAATTGAAAGCTCAATAAAAAAAGACATTTTTATAAATAAATATGAGCTTTAGGGAATGAGGCACAGATAGAGAGAAAAGAAAGAGGGGGAGCGGATGATGAAAGGATACTCTGAATGGACTTCTCGTTCCCATCTGATAGCAGAACTTCCTTCACGTCAGCATAAATGGCAACCTGAGAGACAGGAAAGACAGAGAAATGAAACAACACAGAACAAAAGAACCAAACCAAAAGCACCCTTAGATGAAGCAAACATCTGAACACACACACAATAATGACATAACCATATCTACAAAGCTTCACTCCTGGCAGCGCGGCCCGCCCCACCCTCTCTCTGTATTGCTCCCTCTCCTCCCTGCCATTTTCCTCTCTATCTTCACCCCATTTTTATGTCTGCATTATTTTAATCATTCAATCAAATCAGTCAATACTTTTATCATTGTGGCTAGCGGTGGGGGCTGCTATCTTGCTATCACTCTGTTCAGTAATTGCATTGTGACAGGGGATGATGGCAAGCGCAGAGCCTTTTCATTTGACGCTGGGTGTTTATCGGGCCGAGCCATCACTCCGTTCGCCGCTGTCACTCTGCACTCGGCTCGCCGGGCCTGCCTGATGCCCTTCATATAACTTTGCGGCGCAGTGTGTGAGAGGCGAAGAGAAAGAGAGGGAGAGGCAGCGAGACGGTAGGATGGATAGAAAGCTTTGTGCTGCGCCGTGTGAGGGAGATATAGATAGAGAGGTGTGTGCTTTACTATAACCTAATCATTTCACATTCCCCTTTCTTTGCAGATGCTTTTTTTTCATATCAGAAAGTGTGTGTCAGGCTGTCAATTTCTGTTAAGGAGTGTGTGTGTGCATGGGAGGGTGTAAGTGCAAGTAGCTATTGTGTTGGTATGCACACATCTAAATGGCTGCTTCAATGGCATATGGAATACATGATGAACCAAGTGTATTAAAATGTCTCAAATGACCAAGGCACACG